TTTATAAATATTTTTATTATTATTTTTATTTAATAATTTATAATTTTAAGTTAAAGTTAGTTTAAAATTGAAAAAAATTCTAAAAACTACTAAACTATTCTTAATAATCATTTTTTTATATTAAAAACTTAATAATTATATTTTATATAATTTTAATAATCAAGTTTTTATATAATTATTTTTTTAATTATAGATTGAATATACTATATTAATAATTTTTCTTTGATAAAATAGATAATAAATAGTTATATTATATTTATAAAGAGAATATCAAAAATTTATTATTATTTTTAATATCTCTTGAAAGATTATTTTGTAATAGATTTAATAGGTTAATAATTTTATATATAATATTTAGTCAGAATAAGATATAATAAAGATATTATTGATTATAAGTTAAAGAGACTAATATAATCAAAAATATAATATAATAAATATTAAATTATAAATATAATAAGTTAAAAATAGATAACAAGAATATATTTATAATGTGATTAACTAAAATATAATCTGAAATTATAATTAATATAAGAAATATGTATTATAATAAATAAGATATTATTTAATAAAAATTATTAATTTATAATATTATTATATTTTAATTATCATTTTATCTTATTATTTTTTATTTAATTTATTAATTCATTTTATTAATTATTAATTAATTATTAATTATTTATTTATTAATTCATTATTTTTTTCTTTATTTTAAAATACATTACTTTTATATATATTTAGAGATTTTACAAATTATTATAATCTAAATGCTAGTTTTATTAGTATTATAATGTTGATTTTGTTATGATAATTTCATTATAATTATTATGTTTGTAAAATTATTTAAAAATATTTATCACCACAACCACACAGACAGGTAATGACTTTGTGACTCAGGCGTTGGGAACACAGAGTAGTGTGTGCATAGGGTAGAGTTTGTGATAACCAACGACGTTTCTTTTCTTTGCTGTAGTAAATCATTTTCTATTAATATTAACTAAGTTATGCTTATTCATCAGGGGTCTCAGAGGCAGTCAAACGTAAAGGCAGTATAGATAATGAAATGAACAACTACATTAAACGAATCCGAGATGGACCTTCACCATCCGAATATGCTATAATGGGATGGTCTTTTGGACAGTACGGTGAAGATCCTCTATATTTGAACCACCGCCCGACTTCTGCTTCTGGAAATCCTATTGCAATCTATCATCCAGTGTTTGAGAGGTTTGTGGAAGACTGCCGAACAGCTGTTCCTACACAGGAAACATACGACTTTGTTGTGGAAGCCACCTTAACAATGTCCGCGTTCACTTATAAAGATTTACGAACGAAGTCATTTCACCGTTTGCTAGAAAAGTTTGTATAATTTTTAGCAAAATTGATATCAATACGTGCACAATAGATGGTTCTGCGTTGACCAGAGACGGAAGTTTTTTTTGTTGAAGGGAGGCCCGAACTTGGAGAAGGAAATGGTTGTCCGTATATTCAAGGCATTATATATTACGGGAAGATAGTAGCTAATTATCTGCTTGAAAAGAAAGAACGACGTTTGCCTTGTTTATTTTTTAAATGTCAGTTGATACTTATTTTTCCATTACTTTCAGTTGGACCATTAAAAATATATCTTGTTTGGATCTAGAGAGAGCTTGAAATGCTTCACATAACTCAGCAAACTTTTCTCTCAGAATCATTTTTGAACAACCACAATTGCAACTTATCTCCAAGAAACGTATTGCTTTTTTCAAATTCAGTAGATTCACTATTTGTCATATATGGATAATCCTATATAATAATTTTATTGCTTAAGCATAGTGGCTACAGTCTTATATTCACTCTCGATAAGATGAAGTCGTCGGGCTGGACCAAAACGTTCATATTATCGAAAGATTATCACAACGAGAGATCTTGTTATAACAAAGATCATATTTGAGTCGCTTGAAAAATCATTATATCAAGCGAAAATTTCTTTATTCAGAGTCTAGGGTGAGAGAATATAAAAACATCGAAATCTTGATTAATCGGTTTAATTTAATTGGTTTAATTTATAATAAAATTGGGCTCGATATAATGATATTGTAATCTCGCGATATCACGTTATAATGATGTTGTGCGATTAATATAGAACCAAGTACATGTATAGTAAAACGATCTCGATAGGATGAAGCGCTTAAATCATCACTATAATTGGGAGCCATTTTTTCGAGCATAACATCATATTAGGCCAACTTTATCTTATCGGGGGATCATTATATCGAGAGTGACTGTGTATAATCAAAGACGCGCTTTTGTGCCAAATAAAGACCTCGAAAACTCAAAGACGCGCTTTTGAAAATTTAAACTGGTCTATAATAATAATTACCAGGTTTGACTTTTTAAAACAAACTGATTGACAACTTCAAATGAATGGGCAAATTAAAACTGATGGTCAATACAATGAAAAGCAACTTTGTTTATTGATTTCAATTTTGACAGCTCATACAGACTCTAATATTAAGATCATGCTGACTACCAGTATCTAGGAAAATACAGTATATATTAATAGATGAAATCGCTGTTAATTCATCCAAGATGGTTCTTAGAGTTAACACAAAACTCAGCATGAAGGCAAAGAGAAATATTAAGATTACTGAGCACGTGTTATCCACTCGTGCAGTAAAGCAGCTTTGGCTGTCATCCTAGCATTATGATCTGCGTTCTGCAAATTTGCCATAAAGCGCCTCCCTATCTCGGACACTATCACTGACTCTCCGTTAATAGTAAACAACTTTCCGACTTGATACATATCTGATGAGCGCGTATACTTTCCAAGTTCTAAGGTATTCGTATCCCAACCCGTCAAACTTTCAAATTGAGGTATCTCATTCGCCAGATCTGAATGATCGAAGTCAATAAGCACATATTTGCCATCGACGGTCCGCAAAATGTTCGGCCATCGGATGTCTCTATGGACAAAACCAGAGTTACAAGTCCGTTAAGAATATCCTCAATAATCATCCGGAACTCGTCTTCTGTTTGTGGCAGGTGGTGAAATCCTGGAGTTTCCAGTGTCACCTTGTACAATCCTTTTTTTACACTTGGCAAGTCTTTTGCATGCATTAATCTGCGCTTGTGCCATGCCAGTTCATAGATCTGCATAAGCGTGTCTATGTTGGCGAACGGGTACAAATTATTAACGAAGAAATACGTTTCTCAACAAAATTGTCATAGAAAGTGATTGTTATCGCCCTTTTTCAATGTGCACCCCAAGAGCAATACGTTCGTTGAGAGGGTATCTTTGATGGTAATCATGATACGGATAATGTTAGTGATCGCACGAATTGCTAGAAGCCGATCAACTTGGATAGTCAAATTGAGCCAGTCGGTCAACGGGAGCAAAGTACGTGAACGACTCAAAGCGAAGAAACGGATGTCGCTCCCAGCCGCTGCATAAAGTCAATGTCACCGAAATATATAGGAATAATGGATGCCAACTTGGAACGAAGTTCTTCACAGGCAACGTCAAACTCGCTTTGTAATGCCTTCTCCTCGCCTTTCAGAATCAATACGTCATTCGACCAACACAGAAAATCCGGTCGTTTATTTTAATATGGTAATGGTAGATTTGCCCGTGACGTTGCGATACATTGTAACTGGAAGGCTGGAACCAAGCTTTTCCTGGAAGAACAGGATGACGTTTCTGAGAATCAGATCGATGAGACAATGTAACATGTCTTCGCCAACTGCAAGTTGAAGACAAGTATTTGTCAAAAAGGAGCTTCCAAATACAAATCACCTATCACTGGAAGTTTGTCGAGAAATGACAATTGGAAGATACTTTGTAGAGTCGTAACATTCGGAACAGAAGGTAACTTGACAGTAAGTACTTCGCAGACTTCAGTGGATCGATCTCTACGAAAGCGCTATACTGGATTGAGGAAAAAAACAATTCGAATCTCAATAATAATAAATGGATTGGATGGGAGGTCTACTCTACCCTATGTACACACTACTCAATGTTCCCAATGCCCGAGTCACAAAGTCGTTACCTGGTTGAGTTACTAAACATCTAGCTACGTCTTCCTTTGCTCCAAACAATAAGTCTCTTGTTGTTCCAACACGTTCCTCTCCCCTTGGTACTATTCCTGTTATCCACGCCTCAGTCTTTCCAACCTATCCAACTTCGCGTTAGCTTTCCCCAATTCTTGTTTCAACTCAGCGATGTCCATGTCTGACGAAGTGAAGTGTTTGTAAGAAGATGTGCTGCGCGATGTGATCTAATATACTAACAATGACATATTAGTATATTAGGAACTTTCTAACTTGCTTTAGAAATCAACCAAAACATAATAAATATCGTTGAAACACAATCTACAAAAAATGCTTACATTCACAAGCAAGTTCCTTTTTGAAGTGTTAATTGACTTCATTCTTGGCTTATTGCTAAATTGCATAATTTGGTCAGCTTAATTTAATTTTAATAAAAATTTTACAATATACAGTATGTAATTTATTAAAGAAGTTTAAAAATCATTTTATTAGTAAAAATCGTATAGTCACATCTCTATAAGAAGAACACGCTATATAAGAACAATTTTTAAAAACAAGCTTATATAAAGTATATTAAAATTTTCCCTATAAAAACACAATTATAAATTTTTATAAGAATCAAGTTTTTTTTTCTCCAAACCATGTTCTTATAGAGAGGTGCGACTGTATATAGAAAATGTAATTACTTTCTACCAATGAATGTTTATAATTAAATCAATCTTTATATGCATTAATTAAATTCATTTATAATATAAATTTAAGTATATTATTAATTTTTGCTAAATTCAGTTATAATTTTATAATTGATAAATTTATTTACTTTATTTTTTAAGATGTCTGAAATTAGTATTTTGAACAGGTTTTACTTAATACACAATCTATTTAGTAAAAAATTATGTTTCATATGATGAATTTAGTGCTTGATAATTATTTGTCTTAATTTGAATATTAAGAATGTTTAAATTAATTTATCAAAATAATTAGAATAAATAAATCATTGGAATATAGGTGAAGGGGGTATTGTGACGAAGTATCACATTTAAAAGGCAAAATTTTGAGCATACGGTGACTTTAAGTGTGATATTTCATCACGTAGTGATTGGAATTGCATGAAAATACCACCAACTGATGTGTTATGATTAGATGATACGAATGGTGGTATTTTGAGAAATTAGAAAAATATATAAAACAACAGTTTTTATTATTTTAAAGCGAATTGAAAACTTTATAAAGTTAAATTAAAATTTATGCAGAGGTCATAAACTTTTATTAATGAAAACTGTTAACTTCGCCACAATACCTTCACCTTATATAATCACTATATGTATAAATTTTATAATCCAATAATGATTCTCGTTATATATGGCGAGAACTGTAAAACGCGTTTAGTGTGCCTAGAATTTATGGCAAATTTCACTCTACGGGCAATCAATAATTTGTGCGAAAAACAATTTATTTTTTATATCAATATATATTGTAAAATCACATCAAAGTACAAGATAAAGTTCAGCTAGTAAGGCATTTCTTTCTGCTTCCTAAAGTATTCCGCTTGATGTGATGTGGACAAATATCCTTACGTAAATTGCAGCAGATGTAACAGTTAACATTAAAGATGATTATAATGAGATTAACCATTTCGTATTGTATAATAATAACTTTAAAATGTATTCGGATCAAAATAATATGAAAATAAAATATTTAATTAAAAATGTACAGATTGTAATCTATAATTTAGATTATCTATGAATTTTTCTTCTTTTTGCTTGATGTTTTGGTGTCGTCAATGTGAAATTGGTCACTAATAACATTAGGTTTTTACCTATTAGCACAAATAAATCACACAAAAATCATTAGCATTCCAATTATTGACTAACCTCATTGCCGTACAATGTGGTCCATTATCGCCAACAGCTCCCCAAGCCCTAATCATGAATCCAGTCGCATCACTTCCGGTACCGTATTTTACATCAGCACCATCGGGAATATCCAATTTAAGTTTTTGACTCGCTTTTCCGCCGGTGCAAGGGAGAGAACCAGACCACGCAAATTTTATAGCACCTTTAGGGCTGTATATGTCTAGTGAAGCGATTTTGGTAACTCCCGAAGAGCCACATGATACTTCTACGGTGATTTCATCACCTTTTTTGCATGTTTGGCCCGCTTTAGGGCTGGTTATTTTAAGCTCTTTATGAATAGAATAAGAATTAAAATACAGATTTTGTGATTTTTAAACAAAAATAGTAGAAATAGATTTTACCGCCACAGTTTGGTGTTTGTCGTTTAATAGCTAAGGCATTTGCGGTTTCATATAGTGCGACACTCAATACTGCGTATACAAAAAGTGCAAATAGAAGCGTGGATCTGAATTTATTCATTATCAATATAGAAAGAGGTGCAAAATAAATTTGGAATTTTTTTTATAGAGATAAGTCCAAATTGGATATATTAAGAAGAGAGAGTTTATTATTTCGATTGACTGACCCAAATTCACCTTTATATATATTTTTTTAATATGCGTATAAAATATAAAGGAGACAAACACACGTTTGTGGCTTTCAAGATGAAATAATAGTAACAATAATTTTGCATTGCCCTCTTCTAAGGAAATTCAAAGCCACTTTAGTGTTACTGTCAAAGCCATGATTGTGTAGACGCAGATCTCTCGTGTCTGAAAATCGGGCGGTTGATTTTTTTATGCGAAGGCTATAATTAATTAAAAAGGGTAACAGTCATTTTTGCGTTGTAGATAAGAAAAACAAACTTTATTTTTGGGTATCGATGCATTCATCATCCAGATGTTAGAATCTTATCATTATTTGTTTGTCTTCTGCAAAACAAACACAGCACATAACAATTGTTAAACATGAAATTTTTAACTTGTTCTACTTGATCTTTCTGGCTTAATGCTCTTTGAAAAAAAAAACAAAAAAAACTATAGTTACAATGATCAGGGTACACTTGTCTAGAGCAATCTTTTCTAAGGCTTCATAAGCAATTTATTTTTGCGCAAGGAAAATTTACGTCGCAAGTATAATCGTGTTGCTTTTTTTTATCTTTATCACTTAATTAAAAAAAATTTTATTTCAAAACTAAAAATTTTACTCAATGAACTTGTTTTTCTAAAAAACAGATATTAAATTTATTCACAATAAACAGTTTGGATTTCTGTTGTTCTAAAAAAATATTTGATAACAGTAAAATATCATCAAATAATTGATCATTGTTTTTTAAAACGAATTATTATCGATACATGTTGATATCAATAAAATAGTTATTACTAAAAAAATCATTTAGACTACACAGTTCCAAATATGTCTTTGATTTAGGACCAATGTTGTCAACTGGGACTTAGTCCTTTATTGGCCAGCAGATTACTGAACATAACAAAATGACAACATATAATTTTTTGTTCATGTATAATAGCTATTGTGCAACTTTTGTCATAACCGAGTTAAATTGATCTAAAGTTATCGCGTGTGAAGATTTATTTGTTTTACGGACACATCAAGTAAAAATCTTTCTATTTTTTTCGACTCTTTGATTGTGAAAGAATTAAACTACATTTTTAAAAATTATCTAGTTTCCTGTTTCGAAAAATTTGATTTCTCTTTATCTAGAAATAAAGGCTTTCGCCAATACTTGTAATATGATATTTGCACGTTCAAAGTATAAGAATAGATATTATATAGCTTCACCTCGAACAATAACTTCATTTGAACAAATCATTTTACTAATACAATCAATGATAGTTGTCTGCATAAAACAATCTCCTCTATAAAATGATTTTAAGAACAAAAGCATAGTAATTATGAGATGGGCACATAATTTATATAAAAATAATTTTGAATGATTACTTTTAAAATCAAATGGGGAGTTTGATAATTGTTTAATGAGCTCTTTCTCATTATCAGATCAGACCAAAGTACTTTATTCTTTCTATGATATAAAAAGACTGTCAACTTTCCCCTTGATGAATGCAAAAAGCAATTAACAGTTATGTTGTTAAAAACCACTTGTCAAACTTTCACTTGTATCTAAAAATATGTTTAAAATTCCTAAATCCTGAGTTCGAGTTAATACATGTATTTACGGATCTATCATAATTCGACTGCATACATGGCACGATAGGTTTGATAAAAAAAATTTATCTAGAATAAAAATAAATTTTCGCTTAGCGTATATCTCCCTGCTTTTCAGTTCAAAATCGGATGCAAAAAGTATATATAAATTTAATCCCGAAAGACACCTATTATACTTTTGTGTAAAAATTTTGAAACGTCTCGCTGCTACTTGATTTTATTAAATTCGCTATACATGTAATGCAAGCAGAAAAGAAAAATGACAACAGTTATGAATTATTACGGTCAATCGAACTTGACTATTTTTTAATCAATACAATTAAAATTAAAAAGCAGCAACACCAACGAAATATTTTCCCAAATAGAACAATGAAAATTTGACAAACGACGAGAAAAAGAAATTCAAGCATAGATCTCATTCTTCACAAGGATATTTACAATATCACAATAACGAAAGATTACGTTTGTGAAAAATCAAAACATCAGCAGCCGCAAACAACACACAAGCATCAGGAGAGAAAAGACACGCAATAATGAACGAGTATCAGCATTGTACGAATGAATTCATTCGAGAACAATTTAGCAAATGGGCTTCTAGAAACGAAAGGATCGATCGTGAAATCCAAAGGACGCTACTGTTGTTCCATTAATTTGGAAGATTCTCCTCGTACAATAGGATGGAATCCGTTCGAAGGTTTATTAGATGTAAAACCGATAATATTTTTGGAGGAGACATAAAGGTTATCAAGCGGTGTGAGCGAAAGTGTTCATTCAATCTTTTGATTTTAAAAATCGAACCATTTACGAGTACCTCAAGCACGAGTGGTATTGAAGCATTTAGTGAAATCAGAACAAACTAATGAAGATTTTTTAAAAGAGGTAAAACTTTGTTTATGTAATACTTAATATAAGAGTTGTGATTATTGACAAAATATATTTATTAATTTGTATGATAAAGTCATGAAAATATGTACATGTACATGTAATTAGAACAACCTTTGTTACATGAACAGTTCTTCAATCTCAACGATTTGACATTTTAGACATCACAAAAAATCCACAAGCTGAAGACTATTTACTAGCTGAATATGAAATGAAAGAAAACCTCAAAGCATACATTATGCTACCATGACTTGGGCAGAAATATACAATATATTACTAATCTCTCGCAAACATTATGAAATTCACTATTGCATCGCAATATACACTGGAAACGTATTATTACGAGAATACGACAAAGATGGGTGTTTTCCAGCCTGATTCAATTAACAACAACTCAATAAAAAAGATTGTCGGTGTATGGGGATTATCATTCATAGCTCCAGAAATTCTTAAAGAAAACAAATACTTTGCCAAATCTGGTATCTATGCTTTTGGAATGTTGATGTATATGATGGTGACAGGGTTTTCTTTACCAATTATGCGGATGTTGAATGCGATTTAACATATAGAATCTGTAATGGCTGGTGACCAATATTCCACTCTGCGACGAATACAGAGCAAAAAGAACATCTCAAGTTAGTTAAAAGACAGATGCACATGAATTGTTGAGAAAGCAAAATTCAAGAACAAAAATATCAAATTTGATCTACACAGAAACTGCGCGAGAAACTAATGATTATGGTGGTAACGAGTTGATGATATTCGTAGCTATCTAAATAAAAGGCAGCAAGATGATGAAGAGGGTATGCAATTGTTTTGTGATCTTTATGTATGGTACAAACGGTCTAAAGATATCCAATATTTAATCAATATTTAAACTGTAAAGGAATTAAATATATAACTATTAAAACAAATACATTATTAAATAGTCTTTGATATGTTCTACCAGTATGTTATAAAAATTAGTTGTAGTTAGACATTTTTTAATATTAATAGTCAAACTTTCAGAACCTGATATATCACGTGTATGATTTTTAATTGGCTAAATTTCAACATGCAAAATTACATTATTATTTTTTATACAAAATTAATTTAGTATTATCTTATTTGAAAAATCATTAAAGTGAAGTACAGTGATGTGCAAAAAAAATGACAATTAGCTTATGAATTGAATAATTATTCAAATAATATAAGTATTTATATATATATTCTTTAATATCTAGAGAATAAGATGATAAAATAAAAAATCTTAATAAAATTTTTCATAAATTTGCATTTTATGTTCAAAAATTCAGCTTATAAAATTGATTACAAAAATTTATATATGATTTTTTATAATATAAATATTAAATATATAGTCAAAAAAATACTTTAAATTATATTTTACTTTATTATACAATAATAAAGTATTGAAAAAAACTTAATAATATCTTTTTTATAATATAATAAACAAATTTACTTAAAACTTAATTATATAATAACTTATTAAAATTATTTTTAATTAATATTTTAAAAAATTTTTGTAATCAATTTTACAAGCTGAATTTTTGAACATAAAATACAAATTTATAAAAAATTTTATTAAGATTTTTTATTTTATAATCTTAAGTATACTTATTCTCTAGATATTAAAGAATATATATATAAATGCTTATATTATTTAAATAATTATTCAATTCATTATAATTAAAAAACTAATTGTCATTTTTTTTGCATATCATTGTAGTTCAGTATAAAAATATTAATATATTAGATAAATATTAATAGATTATTTTTTCAAAATAAAATTTTAATTCTGTTTTGTTTTATTAAATTATTAAATATTTAAATTTATTTAAATATAAAAAATTTTATTATATATCTTTTATAAAAAAAAATTTACTAATAATAAACTTTTTAAATTATTATTTCTTAAATTTTACTATATAAAATTTGATTAAAATTAATATAAAAATTATATAGTAAATAATTTAACTTACTAAACTTTGAATCTTAATATCTTTATAATTACTGATTTAATTTTTATAAAATTTAGAATATATATTTATCAAATCTACTTGCATAATTTAAAATTCTAATATTGCAAATTGATAGTGATAATATTAAAATATCTTTTTAAAAAAATAATTTTATTTTAGTAAAGTAATGCTTTATTTATTATTTAATAAAGTATAATAAAATAATTAAAATAATATAAAAAGTTAAATTTAGATTATTTTTTATTTAATATAAAAATATAAAGAATAGTTAAAATTTGAATGATTTTTATTAGAAGCAATTATTAATTTATGTTGGTATACCAATCTTTTTATATCAGACCATATAATAAATATTTTTAAATTTTTTATAGATTTATCAAAATCAAAATTGTTATTACCAGAACTACTGTATCAGCAAAATTATTATCAAAAGTAATATTAGAACTGTCACAGGAAGTTTTTTTCCATTATTTCATTATCTCCAATAAAATATCAAATATAAAAAAGTTTCTAATAAAATATCCAAAAAATATATTTAAAATATATTCAATAAATTATTCTGTAATAAGACAACAAAATATATACAAATAAGGTGTACTTTAAAGCTCTAATATTATAAATGCCTATTATTGCGTATAAATTGTTCCGGAAAAGGTATATATTATTGTGATCGAATTGATTAAAGGCTTTAGTCTATAAAAGTAACATTAGAATAGGCCATTTGTAAAGAAGTTTATCAAATAAATGAATAAAAGACTCTCCAAGTAATAAAGAACACCTTTTTGATCTTCGTATATTCCTTCATGCGAAATACCATACTCTCGCCTGATTAGGTTCACTGCTATTTGGATACCTAATTGATTGTACAGCTGCTATAATATCTTCTAGTTTCTTATGCGTTTCCCCGAATTTCATTGCCGCAAAAGACACGCTGGGCTAATATCTTTTGTTTATGGTGGAATTAAAGATTGATAATCGATCGAGCAATAATCCAAAGCAAGAAAATAGATTGATGAAAAAATACATTTGGAGGATATTCTTTTGTCGAGTGAAAGAGAAAGAGTCTATTATATAGAACTTGTGTGTACATATGGACCAACAAAATGAAGTTTTTCATCAAAGATCAATCCATTTAAAAAACTTCAAAAATTTCTCTTTATATTTACAACCAAGCTTTCGTCCAACCGTGTTAATAAAGTCAATCCAATGCGACTGAATAGCGATATCTTTATTTGTCGCAATGGTATTGTTCTTATTATTTTTGCTATTGCTTGTCTATAATATTTTTGCTATTACCTTATCTAGTAGATTTTTTGAAGTTTCAGCATCTGGAAGAATAGGAACCGGATGTTCACTTTCCGCTCTCCAAGACTTCAGTCTATCATAACAAAAGTTTCATCATGAATTTCTTGATAATAATAATATTATTATCTTGAAACTCATGTATAATGATAAGATAATCATCGAATGAGAAGCCTTTATGATAGATATTAACTAAACTTTTGGGTTCCTATAAACTCTTATAATTTCTTGATAGACATGCAAGCCGCACGCATTGTAGCACCAGTCGCGATTCCATCTATTATCCAAAAGACAATCACGCAAAGTTTAATATTATTTACATATATTGTTAAAATAATATTACTTTCTTAACTAATCAATGACTTACCATCAACAAGAATGACTGTTCTATCACAAGCATCAACTGGTGGCTTATCTTTTCGATATTTCATATCACGTCGTTGAAGTTTCTTTTTCTATTGGGTTGATAATTACTCAAAACTTGGAAATATTATGCAAAATATTATCATCGTTGAAAGTAAAGGAAAGGGATAAATCCTTGCCCCGCGAGCAATGACACGAATAACTGACTCATTCTATAATATTCAACTGATAAATAATGTCATTGTTGTAAACTATTGTAGTATCGGTGATAGCCTATAATTGAGCGATTTAAGATAAACGCTATTAATAAATTATCAAATAATCGTTGGCCTTACAACCATCTTGAGTTCTTCTTGTCTACAAACGTTCAATTAATTTATTATAAATGATAATATAAGCGATTTATTCATTAGTGTGCAAATAAATAGATTTTAACAATCAAAGTAGCCATACATAGCTGATTATTTACTATCATATATTTACCCTTCCACGCCAATCTTTCTCACCACGAAAACGTCCAATGGTGCGCCCAATCTCTCTGCAATTTGATATACAACCGGGACTCCTTCTCTATTGTTCAAATTCAAATTCATTTCAATGTTATTTTCTTAATATCGAGTTTCCGTTTGTAACGTCTCTATCAAAACTGCGGTCATTAAATACCTTTGATAAAGTCAGTACAACAATATTCTCAGCTTTTTCTTTAGTATCAGCTGTTTTTTATAAAGTTCTCACGCGAGAACTTGATCTGCTTCGACGTAGTTTTTTTCAACATTGATTATTCTAAACAAACTTCTACCTTAACAAACTTTCTATCTTCTAAGTATTTAGAGATCGACTTTGATCACAAAACATATCATTTTGTCATCATAGATATCTGTAAATTTTTTTGATCACGTTTTTGTTTCCATTCAGCACAGATGAATTAAATTGTCATTCTATTCTAGTCTTTTAAATAATGAACCCTCTTGAATCGAGTAAGCAGGACCACTTTTCAGAGGACAAAAATGTATTACTAGAGGAGGAGATTTCGCGACTTGAGAATCCTCCGTTCACAGATTTTTACGATGTCGAAAAAGAAGTGGGTGAAAGTTTTCTTTTTTGTCAAATAACTTATTTAGTCATTGTAGTTGTTGAAAAATCGAAATATAAACTAAATTAATAATTTTTTGTGGCATTCAACAAAATTATCATTGACTTGTTCCGAGTTAAAACCAATCGAGGCCTTGGGAATGATAACTAAATTGTATTTTTCAAGTTCAGTCACCTTACGATTCAAAATTGTCTCATATGACTGAGACATTATGTCACTGGCTGATCGTAATAAATTTTTCGATGATCTAATAATTATATAAAATGGATACTTTGGGAAATCCGACACTGATTTCTTCACACGAGCAGATCATCATCATCTCTTATAAATACCCCAAAACTAAATTTAATTTTCGACCCAAAACGTTGTCGCTATTGTATTTCAACTGCGAAAGTTTTAGAAATAGTATTTTTTTTGCCTACTATACTAGCCTTACAAACAATAATGACCTCATCGTCAGAAAGAGAGAGAGAGCGAGCGGCCTATCAAAAGCTCGAAAGCAAAACACAGGAAAAGCTTCAAATACTTCAAAGTCTATTGCCCAAAGAACCAATAGCTTTTCCAGAGCGCGCGAGAGGCAATAACATCTTTAGTCCAAATCAAATAACACCAGTCGAGTTTGAAAATGGGTTTGATGAATGGGCTACATACTTTGTGGACGATCCGCCAATTCCACGACCTCAGAGTCATCGGTACCTTTGGCAACCACCACCACAGGTATTTATTCTCTTGTGTTTCATGAGTGCGATAAACGTGGCAGACAAGTTTGTCGATAATGGATAATGGTTTTACGCGATTATTGTCTTTTTCATGGAAAAATCATTATAAATATCGAATATACATTAAATCTCTCAAGGAATACTAGCTCTAAGACTCTAAACTATTATCATGTATTGTAAATTTCACAGAAAAAAGAGGAGCCTCAAATATTACGAGACATAGATTCTCTAAAACGTGCACTTAATATCACGGAGATTCAAATTGGGGTGACAGACTTGACGCCTCCAGAAATGCGCATGATACTATCAGGCAGACAACCACAACAACCACCACAGGCACAACCTCGATTACCTCAACCGACAGCTAACACTCGACAACCAGAAAGAGTGCCTGACACAAAGCCTGTCGATCAAGAAAAGAAATACAAAAAGATACAAGCAGAAGTTGATAGAATGTAAGATAATTTATCTTCAAATTTGTCATTAGTTATCAATATATTTGGTAATAATGGCATTTCTTGAACAGTATCGGGGAGACAAAGTTGAAAGAACAAAGAGAGAAAGAGGAGGCTGAAAGGAAGAAAAGGTTAGGAACGAGATAATATCCTTAAACATATTAAATAATTAGTTTTTATAAGAGATTAATGATTCTTAAATCTTTGTTATTAACAGAGAGGAGGAAGAACGGGCAGCAGCAGCAGAAAAAACTCGCCGTGCCTTAGCAGCGCAGGCGCAAATAAAGCCATTGCGACCATTATATGAACCAATATCATCTTTGGGATGTAAGGGGATCAAAAAACCAAAAAAAGAAACACTATTAAGAAAAAGGGCAACTCGTCGAATATCTAATCCTTCCCTAGCAGAGGCGAAGTCTGCTATAGCGTCGAGCAGTCGCACCATTGAAAAAGGAAAAAATAAATTTCATTCAGAGGTAAGTGTTTATTAATCGAATGAATTTAACATATTTAATTCATTCAATGTAAAATTTATCATTATAAATTTTAAGGATGAAGGAATAGACATCGATATCACGATGGAGCAACGGCGACTGTCAGATCTATTACGTTTGGGTTTGTTGAGCCCATTGTCTGTGTCATTATCAACTAAGAATAAGCAACAAAAGTCTGTTGCTGCGCTCAATATAAACAAGCCGAGAACTGGTCTAAATAGAGGCCGATCGCGATCTCGATCTCCTAATCGAGGATCAATCTCACGTGCCCGGTCTAGGACGCCTGAAATAGTCAATGCCGATACGCGTAATAAATCGGCCAATGCTATTGCTGTTGACGAAAAGAAGAAATCAACTATTAAATCATCAACAAATAAACAATCACGATTGACCACAAAACAAACTGAAAAGTTCAAAGAATCTGAATCACCATATGCACCAGCGCGGAAAGTACACAAAATTTCTGCAGGTGATGATGCAGCATCAAGATCTTCCGCCGTTAATCCGGTAATATTCATTTCTGATTATATATTACAAATCCAGACAAATTTTTTTGCTCTCATATTACATGTCCTGAATTTGCTTTCATTATAGTCATCCAACGCAACATCCAACAGCTTAAACCCGCTGCCGAATCAAAGTTTAGTAATAAAGTAACCGAGTGTTCCATTCTTTCCTTGTCAAGCTTTACTTTTTTAAATAATCTATACGGATTAATTAAATATCATCATTCTTTTTATAGACTTCGAATTCCAGCAAGGGCTACCGTCGATATGGAGATTGATGAACAGGAAACAACGCCTTCTAAAGACGAAAGCGCATTGCGGAATACGAGTAATAGCAAAGAATCAAATTCTGCAAACAATTTATCGTCATCGAACCAAATTCAAACATCTTCCTCGAAGACGGACGATTCTGGTAAGAAAAAATCTTATTAAATCGTTTTCTCGGATTTTTATTCATAACGTTCTGAAATTCACATATTTATCCTATTTTCAGTAACCTTCAAGAACACAGATGATGACGTTCAAAAGTAACTAGATAGAAATTTTCAAACAACTTTGGTTTTTTTCTAATTCATGCTGAAAATAATTTCATATTTTTACAGATTCGCGGAAATCGGTAAAAACTATAAACGCAAAGGAGAACGAAAAATTAATGAAGCAGTAGCAGCAAAAACAAAAATCACTGCAGAGCTTCATCGTGCTGTTGAGGAACGCAACAATGTAAAAAGAGTAGTTGCCGAAAAAGAATCTCTCCTTAACAGCAAATTGGATTATAAGAGGGCACAGGAGGATTATAAGAAGGCAAAAGAAGACCTCAAGGAAAAAGAAGATAATTTGGCCTTAGCAGAGGATAAATTCAAAAGTGGGAAAGCCGAATATGCAAATAATTTGAAAGCGGCTTTCCGAGACCTTGCCAAGTCGCTTAGTGCATACACTCGGATGTGAGTTTTATGTTCAATTAAAATCCTGCTTTTTATAGACTTAATTGATTAATATATACTATGTATTAAACTAATTTTTAGGTACGCTTGCCAGGTCTCATCGTCGACGAATAAAGGCAATCAACTTTATTCAAGTTCTTTGGAGCATTTGGTAGCCGAAACTATTTCTTGGGCTGCAAAGAACAACAACAGAGAGTTGGAAGGTCTCAGGTAACGAAAGAAAAATTTATTCCTTTATAACAAGATTGGAAAATTATGATTTATTATTGTGATTACTCTTTTTCAGTCTTTCCCTCCAAGGTCTGTTGAAGATACAGGAGGCAAAATGCAAACCTCAGTGGCAAATGTTTGCCTTAAACCTTGCTGAACTCTTGGAGGCTTACGAATGAGTCTTCCAACTCCCTCCTGCGAAGAAAAGAATAAGAAGGCAAAAGGCGCCGAATAATTATTCATTTATTTAAAAAAATTCAATCATATCAATATCCGATAAAAAAAGCTTAAATATATGTTATGTAAACAAAGTGCGAGCATAATAATAGTAATTAATAGTTGTAACAGTAGTAGTATAAATTATTATTTTTCTCTTTTAAATTCGCCTCGTTCTACCAATAGTAATTGTCGAATTGAAACTTTTCCAAAGCGCAACGACATTCTCAAAGTCTTTACCGACTGCAGTGACACTATCCAGATCTTTGGATAGCAATGCCATGTTCGTGTTTACTTGTTCGATACCCTAATTTTTTTAATTTTATATATACATAGATAAAATAAAGAATTTACTTTGTACAAATAGAAGGTTATTTATTACCTGAAGAATATTGTTGAGCAAATTATCACGTTCTTTTTTAGAATAGTGTATGTTCGGCTGTGGTATTACTATTATTAGTATTAACATTAATTGACTCCAAAATTACTTGTTTACATAAAATTCTAGCATGCGTGGCTGGCGAATGCCAAATCAACAAACACCAGTTTATATGAAACAAATGAAGGTAAAATCTAGTAAATATAGGCCATAGTAATATTATGAATGAAGGAATAGACACCGAAAATTCAAATTTTAAATTTCAAAAAGTATACTATTGATTACTAAATAATTCAGTTTTAAACGAAAAAAAGTGTCCTAATGTAGATGTGTCGAAAGAGTCAAATAGAAGTTTAAATCATGATGGAATTATAATCACGGTAAAATTTTATAAGTTCATTTTATAAAAAATACATTTACTGTACGTACGTGCATGTATTAACATTTGTTACCAAATGGTTACAGATATCGAATCTACAGATCTCACAAAGCTTGTGGGTCAACTATATTTACTTTAAGAAAATCTTCATCGTAAATTTCGTTAACAGTTCTCCCTCATCCATTACCATATACATGAACTTTCATAACTATTGTTATTATAGAAATATTAACAAGAATTTTACTTGTTGCTGCCTTTTTGTTCAACAAAGTTAATTCAGTATAGCAAATATAATATTCAAAATTACAATAATTATGAGAAATTAACTTCATTGACATGATTTTTTATTGTTTTGACCATGGAACTGGTGAAAATTAATATCTGTGATAAATGCCAATCAATCAAACATCATCGCTGACAGGTAACTAAAATGAAGAATTAAAGTTCACATAGAAAGTAATTGTGTTTTAGTTTATTTTTTAAAATTAAAGAGTAATTTCAAAGACCATTGCACAAAAAAACCTGCATAATATGCATTTAGCCATAAAATTTAGTTTAATAAATTTTTTAGCATATCTGAAATATAATAGTATTACACTTCTTCTAAAAATATTGAATCTAAAGAAAGTACAACATAATACAATATGAAAGAGCATGACTGAATAATTTATAGAGAGCGTGATTCCCTAATTATTCTAAAAGTCTTCTGTGAAAGTTTTTATGAAAACTATTATATAAATAATAGAAGAGTACTTAAAAATAACAGAGAAGTTAAAGATAGAATTGTTGATGAAATTCCAAAAGAAATACAGATAATTTCTGCTTATAATCAATATAAAATAAAATATTGAACTTTTAACAAATTATTTAATATAAGAATTAGATACAAAGCAAATTCTAAAAATCATAAACTAATATATATCAACTTTTTAAGACAAAATAATAAAGCTATTAATTTATTAAGTACAAATGAAATAAAAGCTATCAATTTACTATGAAATAAAAGAGATAGGATTCAAAGTATAATTAGATAAGTTTCAAAATAATTTAATATTTATCTTTATTTAAACTACTTATTGCTTAATTCTCTAATTATTCTTTAAATATTCTTTTTAGAACTATATTAATTTGATATGCAAGTTTACAAGATTTGAAGTATAAACTATTAATTATTTAAGAGTTTTTAGAAAAAGAAACATGATTATATTTTGATATAAAGAATCAAATATAAATATAAAGACAAAACAAAGTTTAATTATAATATATAATATTTAAAAATAAATATTAATATAAATATTTTTATAATTAAAAAAATAATATATAATATAAATATTTAATAATCATATTTTATTAAAAAAGAGAATGCTAATATTTAATATATAAATTTATAAGTAATATTTATATTAATATTATAAAAGTATAAATTTATATAAGAATAATATATATTAATAATTTTTTAAGTTAAAATTGCAAATTATTCTAAATTATTAGCATTATATTTTTAGATAATAATAATTATCAGATTGATTTTTTGAGATCTCTATTATTTAAAAATACAAATAATTAAATTTCAAGTTATATATATTATATAATATTTTTAATAGAATCATTTATATATTTTTAGCAACTAAAGATATCATAAAGTCCTGATAATAAGCAACCCTCTACGTCATCATTTTTGAGATCAATTTTTAGGAGGGTTACTTATTTTTGAGCTCTTTAAATAAACGTAGATATATTGATGACTAATAATCCAAATCAAATGTTCTATAGCTTATCAGATTTGTCTTATTGAGGTGATCATTTTGATAGTTTTTTCACTTGAATCTGCTCACTGGTTATCAAAATACTTGAAAATATTTACTGCTATATATTAAAAATTACTATCGCAAATAGGGGTTGCTTATTCAACTTTTTTAGTACTTTTGGATCTGAAGGGGGGATTGCTTATTTTAGAGGGTTGCTTATTATCGGAACTTTACAGTAATAAATTTTTAATAAATTATCTTTTAAAATAAATTTTATATAAGTGTAAGATTATTTTGGTAAACAAGATAAAATATGATATGAATAAGTTTTAATTTTATAATTTATAATTATTTTTTATTATTTAAAAGTATTCAGATCTGAGAGAAAATTACAAAATAGAGAGATCTTATTTATAACGAAAAAAATAAATACAAAAAGTGAATAAATTAATAATGAAATCTATTTTAAAATATATATGATTGAACAGAATTAATTAACTTAATTCACGTCTTTGGAGGGCAACTAATCATAATCCAATAATTAATAATGATATAAATAATAATATAAATAAATAATAAAAAGAATGAATAAAAATATAAAGAAATAATTAATAATAATATAATTAAAAACATGAATAATCTAAATTAATAATTATGATACACATGGTGATTATCTGAGTAATAATGTGTTAAATCTAGATATATTTAATACATAATGATCATTTGTGTATCCAGAGTGAAAATAATCTTCTTAAAAATGTAATACAAAGCTAATCTGTTATACAGATAGTACAAAATGAAGATCTAAGCTAAAAGAGATCTAAAAAGAGATAACTCAATTAAAATTGTTACATTTATAATTATTTAATTTATTTTTTAAAATTAATAATTACAAAAATTTAGTTATATTTTATAATTCTATTTTGAATTTTAATATAATAATTATTAATTATTAATTATAATTTAAATTAATAATAATTAAAATTTATTAATAATTAAAATTTATTAATAAATTTTATAAATTATAAAAATTTAATGAAATAAAAAATATTTATTAATAAAATTATAAAGTTTAATATAAAGAAAAAATTTTAATTTTTATTATATTTTATTAATAAATTTAATTTCTATATATTATCTTTAATTATTATTATAATTAAAATTAATATTTTGAATTAATTAAGTTTAAATTTTTTAAATTTAAATATTTAAGAAAAATTTTGAATAAATTAATTTAAATATTAAATATTATTAATAATATATTTTAATATTTAATATAAATAAATTTTTAAATATTTAAATAAATATTTTAAATTAAATTTAAGATATTTACTTAAATTAATTCAAATATTAATTTATTTTTTAATAAATATAATTTTTTATATTTTATTATAAAATAATAATAATAATAATAATAATAATAATAATAATAATAATAATAATAATAATAATAATAATAATAATAATAA